GGAAGGCTGCACCCTCCCCAGCCTCAGGCCAGGCTGTGCCCAGCACAGGGGGATGCAGCACGTGGCTAGCAAACCTGTCTGTGGCACTGAACCACCCAAGCCTGCTCTGCAGATGCCCCAGTTTCCTGAGGAGACTCCACCTTTCTCAAAAAGCTAAAGCTGCTCCTGTAAGTGCTAGGCTGGCTCTCTCTCTCTGTGGCTTTCACCAAGGGCCTGTGGTGGCAGCCCTGTCTGTGCAAAGCTGCCCTCTGTCCATCAGGGTATCTCCCCAGCCTCTGCATGGAGTGGCCGAGGGAAGTGCCTGATCCCATGAACGGCCCATGAAGCGCTCTCTCACAGGCTACTGGCATCAACTGAGATGCAAGCTTGCTGCCACTGAGAAATGTCTGCCCGCACTGCAGCTAGATTGCCAAACAGCCATCAGATAAACGAGCTGTGAGCTCCTGGCTGAGATGAACCAGAGCTCTATGGGGGGGAAGGGTCAGCAATGGCACCACAGGACCCCATACCAGCCAAAACCAGTGTCCTCTGCCTTCTCTCCACCTATTAGGAGCACCCTCACACATAAGGCAGCTTGTCCTTTGGACAATTGCTTTTTAAATTGGCAGCATGTGAAGGCAAGAGAGGATGAAGCATCAGGCAGAGGCAGTAGCACAGGTTTTCAACAGCAGCTTTAGACCTCAGCGCCTTCTTGCTGTGAGCAGGAGTCATCGGGAAACCCAACTGCAGCCTGCCAAGTCTGGCAGCCTGAGGGCTCCTCTTCAGGCAGCAGAGAGGAACATGACCTACCATGGACAATTTAGCCCACCCAGCTCAGAAACATGGTTCTTCCCCACTGACTATGGAGATAACAGCTCAGCTTTGAGAACATGACAGCTTGGAGTGCACATCTCAGCTGAGGAGGGATGAGCACTTGATGCACCGTCACACATTCTCTGATCTGGTAAGGCTAGCAAGGGACAGCTATTGCAAATTATTTTTGATCACCCAATCCTCAGGCTGGGACTGAGTTTCCATTTGTGAAGTGGGTACAAGAGTACTTCCCCTCGTTAAAGAGACACTACAATTTCCCAAGGAATCCAGACTGTGCAGTGATGAGGGTAATACTGACAATTCAGTTGCATAAATGAGATGCTTTAAGTGATAGAATGGGAAAGAGCTGTCTTCTGTGAATCTGTATGGCAAGAACTGACCATAGATACCTGGCTTAGAAAGAACAGAGTGTCTTTGGTTTGCTTCTAGTGTTTAGTGATTGCCAAGGGCTCCTCTGCTGCTCCACCCCTCTTTGCACAGACATCGTTACGCTCAGCTTGTCCCCAAACCTTCACCAACTCTGCATTAATTCTGCCTCCCCATTTGAGCAAGGGAAAATCATGTTTGTTTTTATGGAGAAGAAAGAGAAGCACCCCAGCTGTGACCTGCAGCAAGCTAACCCAGGGGAAGCTGATTTCCAGCCTTGTACCCCTGCTCCTGGATCTCTGTTACTGTTTTTTGCCGTTTCTTCCTGCCTCAGCTTCTCAATGTTTTACTAGAGTGAGAGTCTGCAGGCTAAGAGACATATCTTGATGACTGATTGTTCTCAGCCTGCGGACAAAATCTCTACTCACTGTTACAAAGCCTGTGTTTCAAGGGGGTTTTCTTACTCCTCCCCCCCATTCCTGAAATAAGTTTTCATCAGCAGGATGCAAGTTTGATTCATCCAAGCCACAGATTTATTTTTTTCGGCCTATGTTTTTAAGTCTCAAGTCATGGAAGGAGAAAAATTCAGTAGTCCCAGAAAAGAAAGAAAAAATAATTTATATTTGTGTTTAAAGAAAAAAGCCCATGGCTGTAACCCCTAGTGTGTTCTGGGAGCATACCAGTTTGATTCCAGATGGGGCAGGCAGGAGGAGTTCCTGGCCATGCTACCTGCTCTACAGCTGCTGCAGATGCAGAAGCCAAATTGCAGATCACAGAGCATGCCTTGAAATGCTGGAGGGACATATGCAAATTTTTTTTTGCTTCAGTCTGAATGCAAAAGTGTGCACCCTGAATGCAAAAATATGCACTTCTCTCTTTTTTTTTGCTACCTGTGCTTCAACAGTTGATTTAACCATGCAGAAAAATGACACTGAGTATCACTCCCTGGTGCTGGACTAGGCTCTACTTCCAAAATAGAAAAATTAAATCTGCTTGCACAGACTCAAAAAAAAAAAAAAAAAAAAAAAAAAAAAAAAAAAAAAAAAGTGAAGCAATTTTAAAGTTGAACTTCCACAGAGTGACAGAGGGAGAGCTGTCATGTCAGAAATGCTGTGCCTGTAGCTGTGATATTGCACATCTCCTGAACCTGATGTCATCATGCAAATGCCTGACAGACAACAGCCCGAGCTGGGCAGGAAGACAAGTTTGCTAGCTTCAGGAAGGGGCACTGTGCAGGCATGAAAGGTCACACTGCACCACCAGGGCCCAAATTTGTCACTAATACAGACTAATCTCAGGATTTAGTACCAAAGCTTTCCTATGTCTTTTTTTAATTTTCTTTCTTTCAATCCAGAAATTCTAATTCTTCTAAGAGTCTACTGATGGCTGCTTTAACACCTGATATAATTCCATAGGGTTAGCAGACTCTTTCTCTTTTGCTGTTCTTTTTTAAAACAGTCAAAACTCCTTCCTGTTCAACCCTTTTACACCCTTGCCCAGGCCAACTATTCCTTTAAAAAATCTGATATTTTCATACACATGAAATAGTTTTTGTTTTTTTTCCAGAAGTCAACAGACAACCAACCAGAAAAGTCTGGCCAGGAACTACAGCCAACACTGTGGAAATGTTTTGCTGAGCCTCAGTTAACAACTCTATGTCTCTCCTCAGAAGCATCCAGTCCTTCTGCCTCTCCCCCTGAGCTAGAATCAAGCAGCAAAACCAGGAGGTGTGTGGCTTCAAACCATGAGTTAACAACACACTTTATTTAGCCTACTCCTGACATGCAACCTACAGCTCCTGGCAACCCAGCACCCAAAGGTTTTCCACCACAGCCCCTCTGCATCCCACTATATATAAACAGGAGAAATCCCTCACACTCACAGCACAAGCCCTAGGAGAATCTTATAAACTGGTTTGGGTTTGTAAGATGTTTGGCTAGATCATATTTCACAGAATCAGAGAATTGTCACAACTGGAAAATACCTCTAAGATCACCTAGTCCAACCATCCCCCAAGGGGGGAAACAACACAACCCACACAGGCAACACAACCCACTCACCCAAACAACAATAACAACAATACCCTTGCCCAGGCTGCACAGACCCATCCTTGGCACATTAGGGCAAAGCGTGGGGTGTGGAGCTGCTTCTGCAGGTAACCCTGACCTTCCTTTCTTCTTCTGGTGGGAAATCAACATATGATCATTTCTGTTCTTGTTTCTAAAAGGCAAAGCAGCTGCCAAACTGGTACCCCAAGCCTCTGCAAGTCAGAATTCACAGGCTCCCTTCCTCACCACAGTGCACCTGCAAGCAGCAAGGACATCATTAGCAGGGCCTGGCTCTGCCACAGAGCTGTTGTGGGACTTCCACTGTTGTACCTGTGGCTTGGGTGTCCCCAACACACCCTGCCTGGGATGTTTCCCTGGTGAGCTATCTGGCATGGCAGGATCCTGATCTCAGCAGCTGCTCTGGGTTCTGCAAATAAAGCTAAACACCATGTCACCTTCTGGACTTACATCATGACACCAATATGCCAAAACACATCACTGAGGACAATAAGGCTGAGATCCATCAGCTGATGGGGGAAAATGGAGTATTACCACAAGTAGCCTGCAGCACATGCTGTGGAGCAGGTGTCCCCCTGCTACTAAACAGGAAACAGAAGTGCTGTGGCAAGCAAGGCAGAGATATCCCAGCAGCTCCGGGGATGGCAGCTGGAGCTGGTGAGACCATCTGGAACCCTGTGCTGGTGGCTGGCCCTGGGCACATAGCCCTGTGGCCTTAGTGGCCATACAGCTGTGTTTGTGCAGAGTGGGGCTTCTGAGAGCAGCCTGAGCCACCCAAAAGGGGATCTCAGGGGAGCCAGGCTGTGTGTGCACCCAGGACACACAATCCACAATTCTTATCAACAGCCCACAGCTGAAAGAAACCTGCCAGCACCCAACTGTCCTCACTAACCTGATCACTCTGGTTTCAGATATGCTGCCTTTTTGGGGCAGATCTCAAAGAAAAACTGATGCCCCTGAAGCTCGTGAGGAAATACAGAAGCAACGTGGCTCACGTGAGCTGTGTGAGCTGCTCGAGGAGCTGGTAGAAATTTCTGTTCATAGTGTGGAAAGTGAATTGCCATCTGATCTAGGAAGGAACAAATGCAGACCCACCAGATAGAACCTCAGAACCTCAGCCTGAGGCAAGGGGGTAGCACAGGCATTCCTATTTCCTTTTTTTTAGGGAATGTCCATGCAGTGTGGGCTGTGCTGAGAGGATGGACAGGTGACAGCCCCCACTGCCTGCCCACTTCTTGGGGCCATAAGAGCCCAGGCTTCCCTCCCCACCCCAAGCTTCATTATCTGTATCAAGAAAACAAAGGCTGAGAGGTGATACAGGAAAGGGAAGCAGCCTGTTCAGGGTCCTAAAGCAGAATAGGAATAAATGGGAGGTCTGAAGCTCCTGCCCTCAATCCAGGTATTTTCTGGATGCTGAGACCACAACTCAATTCACCTTCTCCAGGTGTAGATAAATTGTGACTGAAAAGATCCCTGAGTGGGAAAGATACTCCTCAGGCTGAGGTTCTTAGCTACATAAAACACAGCAGTACCACTGAGTTGGGGCACACATGTTGAAGAGCTTGCCAAGGGCCAGGACAGCAGCCCAGAGACTGAAATCTCTGTAGCAGTGGACTGGAGACTAGTGCTGGGCTGGCCAAGGGCATTAGCTAAACTCCATATATCCTTTTTCTCTTGGTGTTAGGACTACTTCGAAAAAAGCAGTGAGCAGCCTTAGGTGCTTTGTGAGATGTGATGGTACCCAGCAGGGCTTACCTGGACAATTAGCTTATTTTCTTTATCAGGCAGAATTCGGTAGGTGTAAACGCAATTCCGGAACCTGGAACAGATCAGAGGAGTTATGGTTAGACCATCTCCAGAAGAGAATCACACTGTGGCACCCCTCCCCATGAGAAAAGGTATTGGAAGATCCCAAGACACACAGATGGCTTCATGCACAAGGGTTTTAAACATTTATCTTTCTTTCTTTCCCTAGAGTCTGTGAACTAACATAAACCTGAAGTGCTCCTGGTCACTGAGACATGTTTGCAGATGTCACTGCAGAAAGTGATATCAGCATCAGCCTCAGAGTGAGTTACTCAACTCTTCTTCTGGCTGGAAAGAAATAAAACACCAAATGGCTTTAGCTGTCAGTAGTGTGGGTGTCTCAGGAAGGAATGAAAAAGCAGAAATCTGAAAGACACAGGGCGAAAATCAGCAAGGAGTGAGTAAACCAAAGGGTGGTGAGTATGTGCATCGACTTGTAGTGGAAAAAACAAATACTAGATTTCAGGTAGATCATAGGAAGACAGCAGGTTGGTAGCCACACACACAAATCCTGAACAATAGCCTCATGGAAACCCCACCTCACCATCCTGGTGCAGATGCACACTATACACATGCATCTGTAGATCAGCCATAAGGAACATTGTGTCCCAGCTAAATTAAATTTGATTCTTATTTAAGGGGAGTGGAGGAGTCCTCTGCCCAGGGGACCACATCAGAACACACGAGCTCAAGGGCATGACCTCCCTCAGCAACTGCTGAGCTTTCTGGAGCTGGCCCAAGAAGGCTTGACTAAAAACATTATTTTTTGTTATCTTTCTCCCAAGAGAATAACAGATTGATCAGATCTTTTAAGTCACCTGCAAAGCACCTGCTTAAAACACACAATATTATGGCTTTAAGCTTGCAAATGATGCTGGTTTCAACCCCTTCCTCTCAAAGGAGAAAATGGAATCCCCTCTCAGAGCTTCCTTGGCTGCAACAGGAACACTGTGGGATTGTCATGACATGTACATGACATGTACACTGAGGTCAAGCCCCAGCCATGGGACATCAGGCAGATCATTAAAACATCCTCATCTCTTTTAGGATTATGTTGTGAGTCTATGCATCCTGTGCCTTTCAGAAGCACCCCATGGAGGAGAGAGGGACATTGCTAGGAATTGAGGCAGCCTTATCCAGGACACACAAAGAGCAATTGGAAATGAAAAGAAACTGCTCATAAATCACAGCTGAGTTTTTCCAGGTGTTTGGAGGATTTTGCCATGGATCCATATGAACGTGTATCTTTTGGTGGCATGAATACAAAGGACACAGAAGAATTAGAACTGTTCCCAGAGCTCAGTACCACTCTACCAAGCAACGTAAGACACAGACTCCTACTCATTCAGACACCTGGGGACCTGGTACAGAGCTGGGAGTCACAGACATGCTCCCCAACTGCTCTGGATTGTCACAATGCTGCTCATTTCACCAATCAACGCCAGATGAGGACATGCCCCAGGGAAGGGTTTGCTTTTATCTGTCAATGCAGTTCTCTTACACCATTTCCTCCTGCTGATATGCAAACAGGGCTAAGCAGAACTGCTCATGCAGTTGATCACAGAAAATTTGTGTGTGTGTAGATTATGAAACTGATAAACCAACCAGCTCAATGGCTCTTGCATCACAAGAGGACCTCCTTGTTACCTTCATAGAAGGTGCCCCATCTCACAGACCTTACCAGGCTGCTGTCATACCTAATACTAGCAAAGAGGTTTAAGTTAGGAACAGGTAAGATTGGTGGAAGACTGGGGAAAGAAAGGCTGTTGGGCAAGACAGACAGGGAGGAGCACTTCCTAAGCAGGAATCCTCTTTAACAGTCCTCTAATTTGGTGCATGTGGATGGAGAAGACTGGGATTTGTACCCCACTTCTACCCTTAGGCTTTCTTTCCTCAGCATCCTGACTGTCAAATTATGTGGTCCCAATTACTATCACATTCCAAGTCCTCCCTAAAAATCAGGTGTAAGTTCAGCTTTGCCAAACCATTGTTCAGGCTGGCTCTGTGGGGGATAAATACAATATCAATCTCAGCTTAAATGTGTCTCCAAGTATTTTGTCATTCCCCTGTCCTCTCAACCAACCAGAGAAGGAATGGGGACAAGGCCCCTTTCCTGCTGTACATGATTTTATGCATAAGTGATGATGTGCACATGGAAAGCACCTGGAAGTCCTAGACAGGACTGCCATGGTAAGCAGGGCGCTGAGAGCCCCGTGAGAGCAGTGCCCCGTGAGCAGCACCGTCTGAGAGGGGTCCCAAAGCCACAGCTGGCCTCTGAGGGTCTTCTCTAGAAGTGCTAAACCTGCAGCCATTTGCACACCAAGAGAAGATCCCCTGAAGGATGAACCCCTGGAGGAGCCTGCTCAGGGTCCTGGTGCAGGCAGCTGTGAACCTTGATTTCAGGATCCAGGCATTCCCCTCCATGTAAGTTCAAGAGTCTGTTTCATGCCAACAAAGTGGCAGATCAAATGATCCAGGCAGAGAGAGAGGAGGAGGAGGAAAAAGGCTTTGCTTCTTGCCTTTTATGGGGCAGCAGAGGACAGCAGAGCTGGGAGGGACCTTCTCCAGCCTCTGGGGCTGCTCAGCTCTCTGCTAAGGTGACACTGGTGCTCTGAAGTTTCAGACAAGGAGGGGAGGGACTCTTGCAAGGCCCTGCAAACACACTTCCCCTGCTTGTCTATATTTATATAAACTCTGTTTTACTAAGGCAGCTCTTCAGGAAAACCACTATTTCGTTCTATGATATAATAATAATTAAAAATAAGTGCTTTTGCAGGATTTTGACTGATCTGCCCAATAAATACTAGAGCTTTGTAGAATATGACACTTCTTTTTCAGAGCAAATTTCATGTTTCTGTGGGTTTTTTTGTTCTCGTTATCTATACACAGCTGACATTTTCTCACTTTCAACATGGTTCTCCCTTTGTGAAAAACTTTTGCAGCCAGGCTTTCAGCTGCCCTCTCTCCTTCATTCTTTGTGTCCAGCCTCTTGTTTTTTTAAACAGAAGTGACTGAAGAGCTCAGAATTCAAACACTTTCCCGCCCATGACACAGCTGAAACTGATACATCTCTGAGGAAGCTTCTGGCTTCAGCAAAGCTGCCCTTTTGTCAAGATGACAGTCTGAGGGGAAAACTTGTTCACCACTTTTAACCCTTTCTCTTCACAAACCAACTGCAAAGCAGCACAAGCCGAAAGCTTGTTAGGCTCTTTGGCAGCAGCCTGGGTGACACTTCTGGGGCCGCAATGACCACCAGCCCCTCATGCTGCAGATCCAGCAGCTCCTGGCTGGCCAGGCTGGGCACTCCCCAGAGCTTTAATGGAGCCATTCGTGTTAGCTACCTCAGAAGGGGTTTAAGAACCTTTGGCTCCCGGTTCAGAAAATCCTGGTCATTATATTGTTTCTATTTCCCGCTGCCCCGTCTCTCAAGTCACAAAAGACTTTCAAAGTTGGCTGCGTAAACAGTGACAATGGAAAAACTTATTCAAATGCAGGTTAGCCGACATTTTTGCAGCACCTTCCCTTTCTATAATCCCCACCATCGCTGGTAAAAATATTTTGTGTATCTAGTGGTTCAAGGCAAATCAAAGGGGTGATACTAAAACATCAACAGCAGCAACAGCCTGGTTTAGTAAAACATTCCCTAACCTGCAGTTTGGGCCCTCAGCTTGTGCGACACGATTGTGCCTGGGTTCTCCTGCTGGTCCTGGCCATCCACCTGCAGCCACCCTTCTTGCTCTGCTCTCCAGAAAGACAAAACTCTTCCCCTGTGATTACCAACACCGAAAGGTAGGCAGAGAGGCCCCTGCCCTGGGTGCACACCCGTGCTCCCTGCCAGCCCCAGTGCTGCCCAGCCCCAGCTCCCCCTCCAGAAGCTGGTCTGAAACAGTCACACTGGACGCACCACCAGCAGCATCACCTTCACCACTTTAAGAAATACACTTTCAGGAAGAAAGCAAACCGGGAATTTAATGTGGGGTAAGGATGGAATAAATTTCCTTAATCTGCTGCATAATGGCAGCAGCAGCAATGCTCTGGCAGGCAGAGCAGGGTCCTGCAGAGGACTGTGATCTCTCCCAAGCAGAGAGCTGCTGTCCGCCCTGCCAGCAATGCACAGCCAGGTGACTTCACCTTCAAATCAGCCTCCTCCTGGCTCCAGAAAGACCACTGCCCTCAGACACCCAGCTCAGAATGGGGGTCAGGGCCACCAGCACTCCTTGCCTCTGCCTGTTTCCCACATGAAATATTCACCCGCTGAGCCACCACAGGAAGGATCAGCACTGCCCCAAGCGTAGCACAGTCAGCTCCAGGAACTATCTCAAGCCTTTTGCCAAGTGGGACACAGCACCATGCAAGCGGGTGGGTCAAACACAGGCTGAGCCAGAGGGTGATGGGTGCCCAGGAGGGTACCAGGCTCCATCCCGCCGCTGTGAGGGGTGGGAGCTGTACTCACAGCACGCAGAGCGCGTACGCCGAAGCGATGGACTCGCTGGCCCGAACAAGGAAGCTGCCATCCTTGCCTACTTTGGAGAGCAGGTCTTCAGCTCTGGAGCGAGTGATATTGCCGTGGTACCAGCACTGATCCATGGCTGGGGGAAGCCTAGATGCCCGCGGAGGAGCTGCCAGCGCTGCCTGTGTGTCCCTGTAACGCTCAGGCAGCCTCAGCTCTCCAGCTTCCTGTTTCAGTAGCACCGAGAGGGAAAGGAAACTGGGCTGCAGACAACTTCCTCAACCAGGCAGCTCAGGGAGCCAGCGTGACATGGCCCTGCAGCCCTGCTCTCCCTCACCATGCTGCAGCTGAAGTGACCAGCCAGCCATGGCCCCTGCCTCTCCTTCCCTTCATGTCCCAACACTCCAGATTAGTAAGTCCCTGGGACCCCTCCTGCTGCCCCACCTGCAGTTCCCAGGCCTTGGTGTCGTGCCATCCCATTTGCAATCCCTTGCCAGACCCTCTGAATTTTCATATTTTCCATGTCTGTTCTACCCCCTGTAGGTCTCCATGGTGAATAATTAAATCCCAGACTGAGAAGAAACACTGCATTAGGATACTTAGCACCAACTGCCCCATTCCTGCCTTCTCTGGTCCTCACATTTAGCTACGTGTGAGGAGGAGACCTGAAATCAATTACCCCTGCGTGTTCCCATGCACAGAAACAGCCATAGAGGCTGATTTGCTCTGGAGATTTGTGACCCAAGCTCCCTGTCAGCTACTCTGAGATGGATCCAGAGATCTTTCCCACTCTAAACCCTCAAAGGTGGGATGGAGAAAAGCCATTTCTGGCAACCTGCATCAGAGAGGGGAGAACTGGAGTTTTCACTTCCCTTTTCTTAGCCCATACATCTGCCTTGGTCTGTGTTCTATGCCACTCTCAGCACTGCATCCCAGGCAGAGCAATGAGGGGCATGTTTGCAGCAAGGACATGGCTACTGAGGCACTGCCTGCGTGGCAAACCCAGCTGACTGTCCTGCACCTCCAACCACACTGCCTTTGAGGGCAGAACTTCTGGAGCCATCACTGCAGGCAGCAGCTGAGCTGAGGCTCTGCCTGGGACCCCCAGTTCAGAGCAAGAGTCCCCAGAAAGGCACAGACACTGTGCAGCCCTCACCTCCAGAGCCAGCAGTGCTGGACCCACAGCATCTGGATCAGGCAGGGAGCACTGCCTGGGCACAGCAGGGCAGGAGGGAGCTGCCAGCTCCCAGCCAGGAGACACCTGAATCTGTGGGTGTGGAGGGTGAACCAAGTACATCTCTGCTGCCCTTCCTGGTGTTTTCAGTTGTCCAGACAGCTCCTCTGCAATGACCAATTTAAACTCTGCCCTCGAGATTAAACTGTGGGCTCCGGCAACTCAAGTTGGTGCAGCCAGCACTGGACCCTGAGAAGGGGCCAGACTGCCCTGTGCAGTGCAGGGTTGCAATGTGCAGGGCTTCCTGTCCATGCTGAGCAAGCACTGTCTGCAGGCCAAAATTATCTCAGCTGGATCTGCCCTGAGCTTCACACAGATCCACATGGGCCTTTAGATGCTGAACTCCCACAGATTCAGGTGCCTAAATGGAGCCAGACACCAAGTGCCATGAAGTGGCTCTGCACGGGCAGTAGCTGCAAGCTGCTGTAAACTATAGGGTGGTTACAAAGCCTGTTGTTCCCACCACAGCTCCTTTGACAGTTGTGCCTGGCTCTAGTGTGCTGCTCACCTCACCTGTACCAGCTCCTTGGGATTTCTGATCCTTACCCTGGAGCACAGATGCAGGGGGCAGAGTAGATCTGAATGTCAAATCACTGCTCGACCTCACAGTGCTCTCCATGCCACGGACCCATATGTTGAGGCAGAGTGGACAGAGTTCTTGCACAACATGAGTTTTGCTGAAATGCAGATGTGTTTGGAGAGCTTCTCCTGATCTACTGAAAGTTAACACAAGGTAACACAGAACATACAAGACCTGGTTAGACATCTGAGACTGATTAGCTGGATACTTAACACTAACTCCCATGCATTCTGCCACCAACTCTGGTTTTTAGCAAGCTGCTTCTGTTTCCTTCCAACATGTGAATCCCCTGCCCAACCACACACAATTCCTTGACTTGGAAAACCAAACATAAGGATGGGATCCAAATACATGTGATGATTCTGGCAATGAGATGCACTGGCTGGTTTCTGTGCCTACTTCTTGGTCCCAAAAGAACAGACAGTGCAGCTCCAGCTGCTCCAAAGGTGAGTCCCTGTCCCCTAACAAGCAGCTCCATGGCCCCTCATGGCTCAGTCAAACACTGCCTGAAGAGGAAATGGTGCCTGTTCTACTTCTCATGACCCTGGCATGTGAACTCTGCTGTGCTGGAGCAAGCCCAGTCCCTGCATGTGGGGGTGGTCAGCACATGTGTGTGCATATCCTAAACTACCTGGTTCCCAAAGGACAGCAGGA